CCCCCCAACCCCCCCCCCCCCCACACCCCCAAACCCCCCCCCCTCACCCCCCCCAACCACCACCATCCAACCCCACCCCCCCTCCCCCCCTCCCCCACCCCGACTCCACCCTCCCCCTCCCCCCCCACTCCCCACCCCCCCCCCCCCCGCACCGCCCCCTCCACCTCCCGCCACCCCCAACCGCGCACCCACCCCACCCTCCACCACCCCGCAACCCCACCCCCCCCCCCACCCCCACCACCACCCCCACACCCTCCACCCCCCAACCACCCCACCACCCCCACCCCCCACCACACCCCAAAACCCACCCCCCCCCCACAAGACAAACAGCCCTCCCCACCCCCCTCGTACTACCCCCACCCCCCACCCCAAGACACCCACCCCAACCGACGGTCAATTGACCGTTCAGCAACGAACGTACAATTATCATGGGGAAAGTTCTTATTCAAAACCATTGACATTCCAGTTCATTTCTCATCATACAACCTCATAGTTTCATTCGTTCATACCAACATCAACTTCCACATTTCATACAATCCATATCATGTAAATTCATATATTTCATTCCCACTCATAAATCAACGAACGTTCATGCAATTCAATCACATCAAACATCATCCATTATACTCATGCAGTCAAATAACAAATGTTCATACAAAACACAACATACGAATTAAATCAAATAAGCTTCCCTTACCTGGATACGTGATTGAAAGTCCTAAATGTAGGTTCTTGGTTCGTCCGACTACAACTTTCTACCCTCAACGATCAACACTTTTCCAAACTAAACCGAACAACATAAAAATCCAAGAATAACTTAGACTATACCCCTGCATGCAACCAGAACATGGTTTGCATGTAACAAAGGAACGAACGGCTGAGGGTAAGGAACTTACCAGTTTCAGAACTCGAAGCTGTTCGGTTCAAATTGAAGCTTGGGAGCCGAGAGTGCTTCTACGGTCTCTGAATGATGATCGGAGAAGAAAAAGAGTGAGTTTTGGTAGAGAGAAGGGAGGGTTCTCTAGAGAGAAGAAGGAGAAATGGAAAGTCAGAGTTTGGAAAGGAGAAGGTGCATGCAGAAGAGAGTGGGTACGAGTTTTCAGAAAATCACTTTTGTTTTTCCCCGTCCAAACGGACGTCTGCTCTCCTGCTGACACCTGCCTTCCACTATCTGATTTTCGAAACTTCGCTGGTTGACACCTGGCGTCCGCTCAAAGGGGTTTTGGGTGCGTTTTTAATGAGATTAGACAGGTGGGGTTTGGGTGGGGTTTTCCGAGGTCTAACATAAGGTATTAGATTTGCACATTACACAATTACATCTCTTTGTTAGAATATGGTAGGATATTAAGTGATTTAATTAAGATAGTCTAGTATATTTAATAATAGGCTAACTTTCATTAACCAATATTAGTCTTCACCAATATTAAACCTCGCAAGATGTTATGTAATATTTATCATAATAAACAATACTAAGTGTTAAATGAAACTAAATATATAGGTTTTTGAGTCAGTTGAGGAGTTTTAGGAGAAGTCTTCTCCATGTGCAAAATCATGTTGTTTATAATAAGCATAAAAGGGTCCATGATATTCACCACCATTATAATTACAAATATCTTTCAATTTCTTGTCTTATTGTTTCTCAACCAAAACATGAAATTCTTGAACTTTTCAAGTATTTGATTCTTTATTGAAGTAGAAAGACTAATAGCTACCTAGAACAACCATCAATAAAAGTAACAAAGTAAAGTGAACAATTAAATGACTTTACCTTCAACGGGTCATAAACATCAGAATGCACAAATTATAACAATTCTGACTTCTTTGAGGTCAGATGCTTCTTGAGGGATACCCTGGTTTGTTTGTCCACCATGCACTGAGAACATCTCTCCAATTCTGTAGTTTTTAACCCTTACCATTTTTCACTAATATAAACTAAGATTTTGGTGCCACAAAGGCACCTTTATATCCATGGCATTCATAGTGTCTTTAGCAACCAAAGCTTTTGTCAAGTACAATTTAGCTTACTTTTCTCCTCTAGCCATAACCAAATTTCCTTTGGTGAGTTTTCACTTTCCAAAACCCAAGTGATTATCATAACCATCATCATCAAGCGTTTACACATAAATTAAGTTAAAACAAACATCAGAAGCATGTTTAACTCCTTTAAGCAACAATTGTATTCTCATGTTGTTTTGCAAGCAAATATCACCAGCACCAATCACCTTAGAGACATAATCATTATCTATCTTCAACACTCCAAAATCGCCAAAAGTGTAAGATGTGAAGAACTTCTTTCTGAGTGTAACATGCAATGTAGCACTATTATCAATAATCTACATCTTCTCATCAGATACAAGATTAACTGACTCAAATTCTCAAAGAAGAATAAGATCACCATTATAGTAGTAGTGACACTATCATCATCATGATCATTCTCTTTTTGCTTGGCCATTTTGTCTTTGTTGTCTTTTTTTTTTCACTTAAAACAATATTTCTAAATGTGCCTAGTTTTATTACAATAATGACACTTTATATTGTTGTATCTTGACTTGGACTTGTTCCTTCTTTTCTCTCTACCACCTTTGGGTTTCTTTTTTTGATTTCTCTCCCTAATTTCTATGACAAGCAACTCAGATTGAGATAAAGAACCATGTTCCTTCCTTCTCATATCTTTATTAAGAACATCACTCTTTGTCATCTATAATAAAACAATATCATTCAAGAATGAGTTTGTAATTATAACTCAAAACATTTTCCTTGTAAATATTTGTGGATAAAATTTGTAATGAATATTAAATAAATATTTTTAATAGATATTCATGGATAATGAATATATATGTTTAACTATATGCTGCTTAAGGATAAAACGAGTATAAGTATCAATTTATTCAATGAGTGGATACTCATTATCCACTACTAATTATAAGTGAATTTTATTTTAGTATTTCTTTTTGAAATTATCAAAATAAAATTACGAATGAAATAAATGTTAATTTATTTATTTTTATCTAAACTTATGAAGTTAAAGTAATTTTATAAAAAAATAATTGTTTAAAATATATATCTTGGCGTAACATTTAAATTTATTGTTTTAGAAATATCAAATTTATTTACAATAATATTTTGTTAATTAATTTGATTTAAATTGAGCATAAAAATTGATTTTTTTATTTAAATTTAAACTTAAATTTTATGTTTAAACGAGATATATAATCAATAAATAATAAAATATTTTTTAAAACAAAATGAATGACTAATTGACTACATTTGATCTAACAATTGCATTCTTAGGCATTTCTTTTCACCTATTTAGTGTAGTAAAGGATGAAAAGGCAAGTATGTCTTGTGTTTGTATAAGGTGATTTGATTTAAGAGGATTTGCAAGGACGAATTTGGGAGATTGGAAAAAGAATGATCTATACTAGAATGAAGAGATTTGAGTGAAAAGTTAGTTCACTTCCAACACAATTATCATTTTGTCCTTAATGTTTTTTCACTTTTCCACCTTTACCAAAATAGTTTTATAAAGTCAAATTATTACTTAATTTTATTTAAACTAATCCCCAAAATTTTATTTCATTTAAATTTATAAACATAATATTTTAATTTAATATATTTTTATCAATATTAATTTTTCCAATTTAAATAATCACTCACATTTCATTATAATATAATTTACACTATTTACAATTTAATTTAAATTGCTTTTATATAAAAGGTAAAATGATAATCTTATATTTTTATTAGTTAAATATTTTTTTAATCTATCATATCATTCACTAATTTTCATCAAATTTCCTTTCATTTTTCTTAAAATCTCACAATCTTTCTCTTAATAAAACCAACTCAATTTTTACATTTTTCTTAAAATCTCAATTCAATAATTTTTATAAAAAAGTTAATTTATAAAACAAAAAAGAAACAAGATATTATCAAATATTCAATATCAAGGTGACATATTATTGTTTTTTTTATATCAAATATTTAGAAATGAATTATAATTTTATGCAATTTAAATTAGAGTACTAATTAAGAAAAATTTCATGAGAATCAAAGTATTTATTATAATTAAAAAATATTTTTAAAAAAATACTAGTGTCCAAGTTTAAAAATATTTTAAATGTATATTTACTTCCTTTCTCTAAATTTTAATGAAATCTTCTTTTTTTTCTTATACTCTAATAAAAGTTATAATATACCACATGAATGAAATCCCATAAAGAACAAAGATTAAACTAATAATAATTAAAATTTAACATAAATCTTTCATCTTTTGAACTTCAATCTATGTTCAATAATGATAAACAATACTCATGAAAATGACATTAAATTACAAATAAAATGTCATTATACAGTTATGGTAAAATTACACTTATGATAATAATGACTTAAAAAGTAAAATAATTATATAAAAATAATCAAAACAATATTATACAAGATAAAAATAACAAACAAATAAAAATATAAAAAAAAGTAAAATTGATCAAATGTGTGTCTTGTAAACAATTTGATACACCATTTAATCAAATCGCATAAAGAAAAACAACAAATGTATAATTAAAGTTGTGATTAGATGAAAAGTATATTAAAGAATTGAGAAAAAATTTTCCCATATCAAACTAGTTGAAGTGCTAAAAAATAATGAAAATTATTCTGGAAAAACAATTTTTTTTTAAAATAAAAAAAATAAATTTTAATTAACTTAGTAAAGAAATATTTGTACTAATTGAGACTTCTTTTTTAGAGATCTATAGCAAGTGTTTTACTTATTTCATCATTAAACCAGTTCTATATATATATATATATATATATATAGTCATAATTTAATATTAATTAAATCACTTTATTATTTTTAAATAAGAAGAAAACTACCAACAAAACTGTAGAGACAGTAAAAAACTTCCCAATTTCTCTCAATATAAACAATATTAAAAAAGTACCAACAAAAGGGTACCCCTAAACATGTAGGTACACACATACATGATGGCATATGTTGATTGTTCATAAACAAACTAGAGAAAGCATTTTACAACATCATAACCCTAAATTCATCAAAACTAAGCACCCCATCTCCATTTAGGTCAAATCTAGCTATCATAGTTTCACACTCTTCTATGCTTTTGCACTCTCCTAATCTACCGAGCATTCTCTTCAAACTCTTTGCTGTGATGCAACCACACCCTTCCATTTCATACATCTTAAAAGCCTCTTTTAGCTCTTTCACTTTCTCTTCTTCTTCTCCTTCCTCCACAAACCTCACAAAATCATCCAACCCCACCAACCCGTCCTTGTCCGAGTCCAGAACCTCCACCAAGGCCTCCGCCTCCGCCCACGACACCTTCCCGCCGATCGCCTCCACGCACTGCCGCAACTCCGACGCCGATATTCTCCCGTCTCCGTTCTCATCAAAGTGGTTGAAAACACGCGCATACTGACTCACCTTCTCCATCGTATTCAAATTCTGATTCTCACCTTCTCAACTCTCGTTACTATAAAAGCTTTGACGTTATAGATGAACGAAATCAAAGTCTTGTTTCAAGAAAAATTAGAAGCTCCAAAGCAAATGAACTTGAGATGGAAAGTATACCTTGATCAAATATGATTATATATAACAACAATGCTAGAAAAGACTTAGGATAAAACCTTGTGTATAGATATATAAGAGAATGAGGGATGTGAAATGGGGGAGAGTATATATATAAGAGAATGAGGCATGGTAGTTTGAGGCGACGTTGACCTAATAACTTGTATGACCCGTTAAGAGCGCAGCACCGTCCTGTATGGACCTGTTATGCATGGAAACTGTCAAAAATTCCACAACAGTTGACGTTCAAACAATGTTAGAAAAGAAAAGACAAGACAACAAATGGGAAACAAATCTCACTCAGAATATTTAATAGTAACGACGCACTCCAATCTTCCGGAAAAGACCCCACTCTGGTAGAAATTTCTAGAACTCAAAAGCAGACCACACAACACCGTTGACCACACACATGCCAAATTATTCTCTTTTTTCAGTTATTCCACCCATTTTTATTTTTTATGTGAATGAGAAAAGGTATAAACACATGTGTTAATTGATTTATATAAGTGCTCGGAAATTTAATCTAACTGCAACATTGTTTTCAGATGTGGGCTGTATAAACAGATGATCAGAAAAATAATATTTTCTGCAAAAATAACATTCAAACAGTGCTACCCAAATTTATTAAGTTTTGAAAAATGAGTATTCCGAGTTTCTTAGTTTTCTAGAAACTTCTGGAGTATAAAAGTTTTTCCTGTCCCGAAGTTTCTGCTACCAAAACGAGAAGAGGGGCTCCATCCATGTATAACGTTCAAATATAATATTATTTCAAAAAATATATTAAATTTATACATTGTTATAAACAAAATTAAAAAAAAACTGCAAAAACTTACAAATTTTAATTTTAATTTATAGAGATTAAATATATTATATTTTTAGATATCTAATATAAATATCTTATCTTAATTTTTATCTTTTAATTAATTTATTATTATTTTATTTATATTTTAAACTTAGTCTATATCTATTTTAATATAAATAAAATATTCTATGTCTATATTAAAAATTTAATTCATACTTTTTATGAATAATTTTTATTATATTAAACAATAAATAACTTTTTTTTTCTTCTAGAAATGCTTTTGCAAAGTTTATAAAAAAAAAAAGGGAGATTCCAGCCAATCACACGAAATGGGATAAAATCCCGTGAATATTAAGTTCAATAAAAGTAAAAACCAACAGTAAAACTAATAGTATTATTTTTCTGACATTGATAAAAAAAATTATTTTTATATATTGTTATAAATTATTTTATTTAGCTATAATGCATTAAAATCACTAAACCACGTATTTTTATTACATTTAAACAATGTTAAATTCATTTTTTAAAATAGTTTTAACATGTCAATAAAAATTCATTAAACACGTACTTTCAAGTTAGTTCTTTAGTTATGTTTCGAACATTAAACTATTTTAAACAATGAATAGTTTAAACAATGTTAAATTCATTCTTATAACATTTAAAAAAATTGTTTATATATATATATATATATATATATATATATATATATAATATCTTTTAATTATAAGTAATAATATTAATTTTCTGACATTGATAATTTAAAGACAACTCGTTTTTTATTTAGTTATAATGGATTAAATTCACTAAGCCTAATATGTGATCTTATTAGGATTTAAATAATGTTAAATTCTCCATTTAAAAATAGTTTTAACATGTGAATAAAAATTCATTAAACACGTAGTTTTAAGTTAGTTTTTTAATTATGTTTCGAACATTAAATTAATTTTGTCATACCTAATTTCGCACTAGTATATATAAATTTTAAACACAGTATTTGACTACATATGATATCATCGTGAACATATAAATCACAAATAAAATATAAAATAATATTAAAAGTTGAAAATCGTTATTTGATTGAATAAGAGAAAAAGATGAAGTTGATTACAAATTTGGTTTTTCTAATATCCACTTCTTTTTCATAGTTTTCCACTTTAACTCAAAATCATGAGTAATCTCTCTTGCAATTTTGTGAATCTCACTCTTTGGAGGATACCCCAATGGATAAGAGAAGACATTCCTCATGTCATATGCAAAGTCATCAACTTTTGAATACTCCAACCTTTTTAGCTTTAACTCAATATCCTTCAAACTCATTACCTTTTTGTTTTGCTCATTCTTCTTTAAAACCCATGCATGTCTTCCCACCATCAAACGCTTCATCATCGTCCAACACTGCATCTTCTTGCAACTGTCCATTCTCATCATTGCATTTTCTACCTTTTCTTTCTTCCACTCTTTCTGCACCATTTCCTTCTTCTTTCTCTTCATATTTTCATTACTTTCACCAGATTTTGATGCACTTTTCACATCAATCCATATGGCTTCTGCATAATATCCCTTTTTATTCTTCAATTCGCGCACTCCTTCACGATTCTTAGGACGTGAAGAATAGATTTTTATGATGAGTTTTTTCCGAGATTGCTGTGTTTCTTCCATGAAGAGAATCGATATAGAAAACAACTAAAGAATGTATGAAGAGAACTCCAAATATTGAAAACTATTTGTGAATGCAAATATAACTATGCTTTGGTTTATTATATAGAGATTTAAAGATATGAATATATTTACAAAATCATATAAACTACTTATTTTATATATTCAAATCTACTTAATCTTTAAATCATTCATCATATCTAATCTAATCTAATTTTAGTAGATATTGTAATATTTAGTTAAATGATATTCAAATAATTATGTTATCTAAATCACTATCAATTAACTATCTCTTATTTAAATAATTATCTTATCAAATCTTAGTGTATTAACATATCTAATTAGTTATATCATCGAATTAAATATAACTTAAAAACTAGATTAAGTTATTATCTTTCCCTCAATCTTTTTTAATAATTAAATCATATTTAAAATATCATTTCATCTAGTGAAATCTAATTTAGTAAGACATCGTGATAATTACGTTTAACCATTATCATATGAATTTTATTCAATTATTTTTAATTTATTTACGTGTTTTGTAAAACATATATATATATATATATATAT